CCCTGCGCCTCACCGAACTCGGCCACGATGGAGGCGAGCCCGCCATACACGAAGGGTTTCCAGTTGAGCGCGGACATCGCATGGCGGGCGGACACCGCCGCCACCGGGCCGGGACCGGAACCGGAACCGGGCTCCGCCGCGCCGCGCCCGCCCCCTGCCGGCACCGCGCCCGGGGAGCCGCGGGGCCGCTCCACCCCAGCCCCGGCGCGCCCCCCGCCTCCCTCTGGGAGCGGTCCCGGGGCTCCGGGGCGGAAATTCCCCCTTGCGCCTAGAACCGGCACGGACCGGACCGGAGGCATTACTCGTTACACGAACCAAACCCAGCTAAATCCCCTCCCTTCTCCGCCCTGCGAATCCCGCACTCCAGCGCTCCCGGCTTTCCAGCCAAATAAGCCCAAAATCAGCTAAGAAAAACAGATGACACCTCTTCCCTGGCCACAGACAGGAACACTGCTCCCGGAACCAGCTTCGCCCTAACAGCAACTTTTATTAAGAAACCTTTAAACAAATCCATGATAAATCACCCCAGCACAGCAGTGTATCCCTGTGGATACATCATGGAATCCCAGATGACACTGGGCCCAAACCTGGCCCAGGAGGCCAGACAAGACACCCAGCAGCAGCCTCCGCCCCCAGAGCAAGAGGGAGACACCACCCCAAGGGATTTAGGGAAGGGGATTATCCTGCTGCTGCTCCCAGCCTTCACTGCTTGACACCCTCCTTGGTCATGGGACAACCCGCTGTCCCAGCCAGCAGCACGGGACGCGTGGAGAGCCCTGGCCCAGGGTGGGATGAGAGGCAAGGAGCAGCTCCCAGGTGAAAGGTCCAGCCGCAGCATCCCAGGAGCTTGGAGCAGGTTTAGGCAGGCTCGGAGCCTCCCTCACCCCAATGCTCACCGAGGGCTCAGCAGCGGCCGGAGTCTCTGCCAGAGCCCCGCTCCCTGTGCCTGGAATGGCGCTCCCGAGATCTGTCTCCCCTGGGGGACGCGTCTTGCCGGCTGCTGTGCCCGTTGCCCCTCCTGCCAGCTTCCTCCCTCCTCTCCCGCTCCTCCCAGGAGCCGCTCTGGCCCCTCTGCTCGCGGCAGTTCTTGTCCCCCCTGCTGTCCGAGTGCCGCTGGTGCCGCCGCTGCTCCTCATCGCGCTGCGTCCTGCTCCCGGAGCTCCTGTCGGTGCTCCCGGCGCTCCTGTCGGTGCTCCCGCCAGCATAGCGCTCGTACCCGGGGTCCTCCTTCTCCTTCTTGATCTTGATCCTGGGATGGGGCTCCTCCGTGCTCACCCGCTTCCCAGCCTGTGGGCTTGACTTTGATCGTTCTGCTCTGCTCCGCTGCTTCTCTGGAATTAGGGTTCACATTTTGGGATGGACAAAACTCCAGGAGCACCTTGCTCCCCATGGCTCCCCTGCCACCATCCCAACTCCTCTTCCACTACAAATTCTCCCCCTCCACCTAATTTCCCAGCCTGCTTCCCACCTCAGGGAGATCCTAGTCCACTTCTAAGCACAACTTTTTCTCCTCCAGCTGCAGCCACCCCACTTCTCTCTTGAACATACACATCATGTTCTTCCCAGCAAAGCTGGGCATTTCCACACCACCAGGAATGCTGAGAACTTCCAACTTCCTTTTCCTCAGTAACACTGTGATCCACTTTGTGGAAAGTATCTCTCCAGACCTGAGGACTGCCTCATGGCCTCATGGCTCTCCTTCTTCTTCCTCATTTTTGAGCATCTCCTCAGCACTCTGTCGCAACAACTTATTTCCATCCTCATTTTGTGCCCATTTTTGTTCCTCCAAGCGTCCCTCCACGCAGACTCCAGCCCCCAAACCCTACCATGGGCACGCCCACCTGGGATCCAACCTGCCAGCAACACTCCTCACCTTTCTGCTTTTTCACGGGCACCTCCTCATCCTCAGACGGGGAGTCGGACGAGGTGTGAGGTGGCGTTTTCACCCCACAGCCCTTGGCATCGAGGGCTCTAGTCACGTCATCCCAGTCCTCAGACTCCTTGGGGGGCCGGTAGTTGGCCACATGGTCCACACGGATGGTCCGTCCCTTGATCTGCGGGGCCGGGCTGTCACCGCCAGCTCCCGGCTCCCAGGGCCGCTGCCGAGCCGAGGGAGCACTCGGGGAGCCACGGCAGCACCTGAGCCCCACTCACCTTGATCCCATTGAAGTTATCCACAGCCAGGATGGTGCTTCTCTGGTCCTCATAGCACAGGAAGCAGAAGCCCTTGGACTTCCCGGTCTTCTTGTCCCGCACGAGGTTGATGTTGACGACCTCGCCGTACCTGTGGCACACGCACCGTCAGCGCCGCGGCAGCGCCCGCGGCGGCGGGGCCGGGGCCGCGGCACTTACTGCGAGAACACGCAGATGACATCGCCCTCCGTCAGCGCGTAGTGCAGCCCGCCTGCGGGGACAGGGGAGGGAAGGAACGGCTCACCGGCACTGCTCCCGTCCCGGCCCCGGCCTGCTCCCTACCCACAAAGATCCAAGCGCTGTCCTTGTACTCCGCGTGCCACGACACCGCCTCCTGCACGCCCAGCTCCGCCTCCCGCGCGTTCAGCTCATTGATCAGCTTCACCTTCGTCAGGGGGCTGCGGGCGAGGCACCATCAGCACCGGCACCGGCGGGACAGAGCCGAGCCCGGCCTTCCCCCACACCCCTCACACCTACTTCATGGCGGCGGCAGCGCGCACTGCGCCTGCGCAACGCCCCGCCCCGCCCCGAGCCGAGGCGGACGTAGCCGAGTGTGGCCGAGTCGGGCCGATTGTAGCCGAGTGTGGCCGAGTCGGGCCGATTGTAACCGAGTCAGGGCAATAATAACCGAGATAGCCCGAGCGCGGCCGAACAGGGCCGATTGTAGCCGAATCGGGCCGATTGTAGCCGAATCGGGCCGATTGTAGCCGAGCGCTACTCGCCGAGCCGAGCCGAGCCGATCGCGGCCGAGCCGAGCCGATCGCAGGCGGTAAGGCAAAGCAAGAGTCGGGGCGCAGGGGGCTCAGAGCCTTTATTGGGGTCCGGGCGGGTCCCGCTCAGCACGGGCAGGAGCCTTTCCCGCTGGCCTCCTCCAGCCGCCGGGGCTGCGGCTGGGGCTGCGCCGGCCAGCCCTCCGTGTCCCGGCAGGGCAGCGAGCGCTGCGCCTTCAGCCGGCACACCAAGCACATGAAAATCGCGTCCACGTTCTGGCTTTCCTGTGGGTCCTTGGCCGAGGTCTCAAACAAAAGCATGTTGTGAGCGTCGGCGAACTTGAGGGCCAGGCTGGATGGCACCTGGATCAGGTCTTTCAAGTCACACTTGTTCCCCACGAGCACCCTGGGGACGAGCGGGGGCACCGCGTGCCCGTTGCACTCCTCGATCCACGTCTTGAGGTTGGTGAAGGAGCTCATCTTGGTCACGTCGTACACGAAGACCACGGCATGCACATTGCGGTAGTAGTGCTCCACCATGCTCTTCCGAAACCTCTCCTGGCCAGCTGTGTCCCACACTTGCACCTGGGAAGCGAAGCAGACAAGGAAAGACGCTACAGGAGTGTGGAGCCTGGCCCTGGCAAGGCTATGGGGAGGGGGTTGCAGGAGGGCTTCCTGCTCTCTGGGCATGGTTTGGACTGGAAAGGAACTTAAAGATGATACAGTCCAACCCCTGCCATGGGCAGGGACACCTTCCACTGTCCCAGGTTGCTCCAAGCCCTCTCCAACCTGGACTTGGGCACTTCCAGGGATCCAGGGGCAGCCACAGCTGCTCTGGGCAACCTGTGCCAGGACCTCCCCATCCTCACAGCCAAGAATTTCTTCCTAATATCCAATCTAAACCTGCCCTCCCTCAGTTTAAGGTCATTATCCTGTCCTCCATTCCTTGTCCCACGTCCCTCTGTGGCTCTCTTGGAGCCCTTTCAGGCACTGGAAGCATGTCTAAGGTCTCCCCTGAGGCTTCTCTTCTCCAGGCTGAATAAACCCTGCTCTCCCAGCCTGACTTCAGAGGAGCTGCAGTCCTCAGAGCATCTTTGCATCCTCCTCTGGACTCATTCCAACAGATCCATGTCTATTTGTGCACCAAATCCTACGCCATGAATGAGAATGCTGATGATTTCACAGAGGAAAAGAAAAAATGAGGAGGGGGAGCCACCCTTTGTGTAGGAGTACAGTGGGAGGGCCAGGAGCTCTGTGGGAATGGGTGAGGAGCCAACAGAGCTCATGGGGGAGGATTAAAGAACGAAACATCACAGATTACATTGTAGGGGGTCTTGGCTATAGACCACCTGGCCAGGAAGAGCAAGCAGATGAGATGCTCTGTGGACAGTGAGCAGCAGCCTTGTGTTTGCAGCCCCTGGTTCTCACAAAGAACTTCAGCCACCCCAATATCTCATGGAAGGACAGCACAGCAGAGCACAGGCAATCCAGAACATTCCAGGACACCATCGATGACAACTTCCTGACCCAGGTGACAGAGATGCAAGGAGGCCTCTGGGCTGGATGAGCAGACAGTGAGGGAACTGGCTGAATGTCATCTGCTCCTAGACAGTGCTGGCCAGTGACACCAAGTCTGGCTGAACACTGGTTACCAGCAGAGTGCCCCGGGGGTCAGTCTGGGTTCTCCTGGTAATGTTTTGTAGCCTGGAAGTGGCAATTTCCAAGTTAATCCAAATTGCCCTGTACCCATGGAGACAGTACCTGCCTTGGAGTCTTTCCAATTGAAAAACACTGGCAAAGCAGAGCTGCTGCTCAGCCCTTTCAGAGCCAGTCTGTCCCAGGCAGAGCAAGAGAAGGAGGGTCCTTGTCCACCTCTCACCTCCTCTCTAGGATACATATCCCAGGAAATGGCCAGTTTGCTGCACTGCCTCCCACTCCTGCCCACTGGAGCTCAAATAATATCCAAAGGTAGAAAACCTGGCAACATTTTCCAGCTAGTGGCAGCACACAGGCTCCATGCCAGCCTGCACCACAGCTCACACCAGCACAGCTCCGTGGGGCTGCACAGAGCCAGGGAGGGCAGGGAGAATGAGCATCTCTAAAGGAGAGAGGGAAAAACATTCATGGACAGCCTAGAAGCACAGCTAAAGCTCTCACCCACCAACACAAGGTTGGGTTTCATTGTGAGTTCAACTTTCAATCAGCCATCTGTCAGTACAGCAGTGATGTTTGTTCTTCTAGCACCAGTCTGATCCCCACAGCTGGGCAGGCCAAGCTCCACCACAGACTCTGTTCCCAGGGGTTTCCTACCAGTGGCAGATTGCTCTGACACACCAGCCAGAGCTCTTCAGGTCTGGGCTGATCATTCTTTACAGGTGTCACACCAGCCTTCCTAAGAAAATTCATCCTGCTGCAACCGCAGCTCCAGGTGCAGCTGGGAGCAGGTTCCTGCACTGCTGCTGCCACCACTGAGCCCGCTGCTGCTGGCCCATGTGAGCCCTCAGCCTTCCAGTGTGGCTGCTGCCAGCCCACCACTCTCTGCCCCCCAGAGTCCTGTCCCCCATCCCACCGCAGCTCTACCCCTCCGCTGGTCCAGTGTTGGGAGCTGGAGCCACCCCAATGCTGCGAGGATCCAGCTGTGCCCATCGCAAGGGTGGCGGTGACTCACCCCGAGCCATCACTTCTGATCTCTGCACGCTCAAGCCAACCCCAGAAATAGTGACAAGGCAGCAGGGACTGGTCCAGGGCCATCTCTGCAACATAGGGATGAGAATTCTTCCCTGGCCCTGTTCCCTCTCTCCAGCTGGGCTGTAAGGAAAAGCCCCCAGGAGGGGTTTGGCAAGAGGCAGGGATGGGGACCGGCTGCCATCGCTGCTGGGGCTGCTGCCGGCCAGATCGGGGCCGGTGCGGGGCCCACCGGGGACAGAGCGGGGCCCACTGGAACCGGTGTGGAACCCAGAGAGGGCGGAGCGAGCCCCGCCGGGGGCCAGCGCACGGTGTGGGACCCAGCGGGGGCTTAGCCGGTGTCGGCCGGCCTGGAGCCGGTGCGGGGCCCACCTTGATGCGCTCCCCCTCGATCTCCACCGTCTTCTCGCGGAAGTCCACGCCGATGGTGGCCTCGGTCTTGCCGGGGAAGGTGCCCCCGCAGAAGCGGAAGGTCAGGCACGTCTTGCCCACGTTGGAGTCTCCGATCACGATGATTTTGAAGATGCGGGTCTGCACGTAGGGCTCCAGCGCGGGGTCGGGGCCCGGCGGCCGCGCTCCGCCGCCGCCGCCCGCCGCCATCCCTCCCGCACCGCTGCCGCCTCACCGGCTCATCGGGGCGCGTCGCCCCGCGGACCGGCTGCGGCACCGCACGGCACCGGGTCCGCCCCGCCGACCGGCACCGGCACAGCTCCGGACAGCGGCACCGCTCGTCTCCGCCCCACACCCCGGCTCCGGCACAGCTCGTCCCCGCCCCGCGGACCGGCACCGGCACAACACGGCTCCACCCCACGCACCGGCACCGGCGCAGCCCCGCGTAGCGGCACCGGCACAGCCCCGCCCCGCACACCGGCTACGGCACCGCACGGTCCCGCCCCGCGTAGCGGCACCGGCACAGCCCCGCCCCGCACACCGGCTACGGCACCGCACGGTCCCGCCCCGCGGAGCGGCACCGGTGCAGTCCCACGTACCGGGACCGGCGCCACACGGTACCGCCCCACGCACCGGCTACGGCACGGCCCGTCCCCGCCCCGCGTAGCGGCACCGGCACCGCGCGGCTCCGCCCTACGCTCCCCGCTCTGGCACCGGCGCTGACCCGGCTCAGAGCTGCGGCCCCGGCCCTGCGCCGAGCCACAGACCGGGACAGAGTGCCTTCAGCCCGGGCCGATTCCCAGAGGAGCGGCGGGGACCGGCAGGGCTGCGGGCAGCGGGCCTGGCCCCTCCCGGGAGGGAGCAAAAGACCGAGGGGCACAGCGAGGCGGGACCAGACACCGGGGGACACCGGGGGACACCAACACCCGCACGTTCCCAGTGCCAAGAGCTGCCAGTGGGATCACAACCGCCGGTGCCAGAATGACCCTCTCCATGTCCAGCTGGGCAGCCACAGCACCCGTGTGCCAGCATCAGAGAGACCGGGAAGGGGATGTGTCCCTCCTGCCCCAAGAAACAGGGCAGTGGGGTGCCAGCACCCACGGCACTGGGGCTCGGGGGCTGCAGCAGGAAGGATGCACACAAGGATTGCAGAAGTGAGGGGAGCAGGTGACAATCTGCAGGAAAAAAGGAGAGCCATGGCAGGAGGAGATGAGGGGACTCACGTCAGCTGGAATAGGACAACATCAAGCAGTGGCACAGCAACAGTGGCACAGGAACATGGGACAGAACCCCCCGGGCTGCATTGCTCCTGCTCACACAGCCCAAGTGATCCCAAGAGAACCCAGACCCCCAAAATAGGCCTCTGGAAGATGACTCCTCCAGTGCCAGCACCGATGGGACCTGCAGGAGCCAGAGGCTGGGAAGGATTTACCACAGACCCTCAGTGGTCACCACCACCCCAGAGTGTCAGTTCTTATCTGCTTCCAGCAGCATGGACATGAAACAGGGTGCATGAAGCCTTGCAACAGGTGGAAAAACCTCAGAAAGCTGAGTCATGAAACACATCCCCCCCTTTCCCACTCTGGTCACATGTGCAGGTCCTGCACTGCTGAATGAGACACACTGTCCCACCATGGCACTGTCCTCCCCTAGGAATAAAGAGCAGCCACACAGGATTGTCCCCACTGAGGCTCAGACTAGTTTTGGCCCACAAAGGGAGCTCAGCTGAGAGACCCAATGGGCTCATAGAACCATTTCTGACCACCCCCAGCTACTTCTGACCTGGCCAAAAACCTGCGGACCAAAAGTGAGATGAGGACATTGCAGAGTGACCGTTCATCCATCTCCCTGTGCAAGGACACAATACAACACAACACAAGGAGGCCCAGGACCAAACCCATCACTCTTCATCCTCCCTGATCAGGCTGGCTTCCCATCACTCCACACCCCCACCAGGAATGGGAGGAAAGTGCTTTTAAACAAAGACAATGTTTTCCAGGAATTCCTGGAAGTTTTATTCACAGAAGCTGTTTGTCAGGGACTTGAGCTTCTTGCTTTCTCTTCTTCATAGTTTCCAACTTGCCCAGCCTGTGGAACAAGATGCCAGTGTCAGGTCCCAGCTGCCTCCCCTCGAAGGGACATGGCTTTCCATCATAGCGTGCCAGGAATGTCAGACCAGAGAGATCCCTCTCTCCTGGCCCCACAGCCAGCCGGGACAGCAGCTTGTCTGCCGTGTGGGGGACCACAGGCTGCAGGAGCGTCCCGTACACGCGCAGGCACTCCAGCGTGACGTGGAGGATGGTGTCCAGCCAGAGCTGCTCTGCAGCATCCCTTCGGTCCAGTTTCCAAGGCTTGTGCCTCTGGAAGAAGCCATTGGTCTGCCTCACACACTGGGCAATGCATTCCAAAGCTTTGTAGATCTGGAAGCCTTCGAAATAACTGTCCACCTGCGCAGGCAGCGAGGCCACCGCTGCCACGAGCTTGTAGTCCTCAACACACGCCCTGCCTGTGCCTCTTGCCTCCTCGGAACCCAGGACCTTTGGGAAACAGGCCTCTGAGAAGCGTGGGTAGGTGTTGCTGGGGTTAATGCTGGGGGCTGTTGAGCGATTCATGAGCCCCCCGAGCGCATCTGCCAGCTCTGAGTTCACCAACTTCACCACCTTCTCATCATAGTAGTCACAATCCCTCTCCGGGACGCCCTGCCGCAGCAGGAAGTACCGGAACCCATCCACGCCGTACTGCCCCACGCACACGCTGGGGTCCACCACGTTGCCCAGGCTCTTGGACATCTTCTGGCCCCGCACAGTCCAGTGGGAGTGCACCAGGATGCGCTCGGGGGGCTCCAGCCCTGCCGCCAGCAGCAGCGCCGGCCAGTACAGCGCGTGGAACTTGAGGATGTCCTTGCCCACGACGTGGTGCACGGCTGGCCACCACGCGCCGTGGCTCTCGGGGTACCCCACCACGCTCAGGTAGTTCACCAGGGCATCCACCCAGACGTAGATGGTCTGTGTGGGGTCACTGGGCACGGGGATGCCCCACTGCAGCCGGTTTCGCTCACGGGACACCGACAAGTCTGGCAAGTCCTCGTCCAGCCAGCGGAGCACGCACTGGTAGAAAGGGTCAGGAAAAATGGCACGCGGGTTGTCCCGGAGCCAGTTCTGCAAGGGATCCCGAAATGCTGAGAGCCTGAACATGTAATTCTCCTCCTTGGTCCAGTGCACCTGGGACAGCAGAAGAGGAAAGGATTATGGCCCTAAGAATAGGATGACAATTTGCACACACTGTCCTCAGCAAGGAGGCTGTTGCACACTGCCCATATCTGTGTGTTCTCCCATGCCATAGGAAGCTGTCAGCACCTTTCCATGACTAGCAGCAACCTTCTTAGCCAAGGTACTGCCTCCTTGGGATCCCCAGGAACACACCTGAGGACTCAGGCACCTGGGATGGTTCAGCATCCTGCTTCTAAAAACACTGGTAACCGTGGGAAGGACCACCTTTCCACCTGCCAGGCTGATGTGACATCAGAAAGGAGTTAGGGAGATGAGAATACACCTTCTTGACAATGTAGTTTTGCAATAATAGTGGAAAATCATGAAAAGACAAAATGACAATGACACTGTAATTCCTGCCCTACTGTCACTCCTAGTGGCTCCCTTTGTTCTCCTGGGGCCATACTTCCCTTTTTCCTCAGTTTATGCTTTAATGCATCTAAGTCACTAACTTTGTTTGCTTACAGCACTGACAGCACTTCTCCCCCACAGTTAAATCCATTAAATGACACATTTAGCTAAACCAGTGAAAACGTGGTGGGTGGATGTGGTACGAGTGAGCTGCGTAAGGCACTCAGGCATCCATGGCTGGGTCAGCAGTCTTGCAGTGTACAAGGAAGACCAGAAGAGCATCATCAAAGACAAGCCGTGCATCCTCAGCCCCAGGCTCCACTGGATGCCAGAACTCACTCATTCACCAGAAGTCTGGGGTTTATGGCATGTGCAAACTCCCCCTTTTCCTTCACAAATTATCCAAGGAACAAACTGCCCAACTGCCTCTTTCAGGATGGAAATAAACCCTCCCATCCCTTCTCGCCACACTGCAAGAGCTTCTGTGATCCATGCACACTCCTGTTTCCTTGGACAGTTCAATACACAGGCGAAGCCAGGAATTGTTCTCAGGGTATGCTTGACTTTGAAATCTGCTGACTGTTTTAAATCTAAAGAATTACTACTTTGCCTGGAAACTTATCTTAGGTGCTTTCTCAAGAGTTACTATTTGCCAATATAGCCCTTTCTGTGTGAACCAATGCTCCCACATCCCAGCCTCATACAAACAGCACAGGAGCATAACCTGTGCTGAGCTCTGAGCAGGATTATCTGTAGTTGCTGGATTAAATCATGTAACTGCACACCTTCTAAGAAAAGAGTGGCAGAGATGCTTGGGAAGGTACTGCACTCCTGGGCGTGCCCATTCTGGCTGACCACGGGCAGGTGATGTTACAGTGCTTTAGGCAGGGCCAAAACTTATTTAAGAGATGGGTAAGTGTCCAGAGGCACAAACAGGACTGAAAGTTGGAACCCCTCAGTGAAATACACCGTTATCCTCCTGTTCAGCTAACTTCTGTCATCACTCCTGTAGAACAGCATTCCCAGGCTGACAGCCTGTGGACTCAGAAGGGGCTGAATCCTTCCCGTTGCACATAGCTGCAATGTGCACCTGCCAGGTGGGGTCTGGCAGCTCTCTGACACTCCACTGAAATACAGGTGAGTCTCAGCCAACACAAATTAATAAATGCCTACGGGAAGCATTGAACACCCCAAATCTGGCTGGAGCAGAGCAGCAGGTCCGTAGCCCGTTACCTCGTGGCCGGTCTCTAGGGACACCTTGCAGGGGCGGCCCTGGGCGTCCGTGCCCTCGGCCAGCTGGCTCTCGGGCAGGAAGCTCTCCTCGGGCGTGCAGTACCAGCCCTCGTAGGAGCCCTTGTAGAGCACCCCTCCATCGCGGAGGGCACCCCAGAAGTGGCTCACGGCTCGGCGGTGCCGGGGCTCGCTGGTGCGCGTGAAGTCGGTGTAGGCGACGCCGGCCTGGGTCAGGGCCTGGCGGAAGAGCCCCGAGACGCGCTCGCAGAGCTCCGCGGGCGAGGTCCCCGCCGCGGCCGCGGCCTGCTGGATCTTCAGCCCGTGCTCGTCGGTCCCTGCAACGGAGAGAGGCCGTGGGGAGAGGCCGGAGCCCGCGGCCCCGCGGGGACACGGGGGCCTGGGCACACGGGGAGGGGGCTCAGCCCCGGGGGAGGGGCTGGGACCGGGGGTCTCGCTGACCCGTGCAGAGCCGGGCCGGGCCCGCGGCGCGCAGGCGGCGGTGGCGGAGCAGCGCGTCGGCCAGCAGCGCCGAGTACAGGTGCCCGATGTGCGGCGGCC